CGATTTGTTTTAGGCGCACATTCCACGTTCAGTTAGGTGTGGATCTTTCGTCTGGAGATCTAAGAAGAGGTGTGAGGTGGACCAAAAAAGAATAGGAACAGCCGAAAATACCGAAGGTGACGGTTTTCAAGCGGCCGACGAGCCTATGAGAAAGACAGAGAGCGACGAGGCTTACAGATACACGATACCCAAGTAGCAATCTACGCAAAGATGGTGCCACCTTTGCAGTTACAGATCCACCTGTCACAGATCACGGCAAGGTTATTGGGTTTGCCATGGCATGCGCCCTTATGTTTCCGAGATTGTCCTAGTTCGGTCAGAATCTGAATAGGTGTTTCTATAAAAGGATAAAGCATTTGCCGTTGATCAATCCCTTTTTGGGATGCGGCACGCATTCTACTTCCATTTGTACATTCGTAGTGGCGTTTGAATGCGATGTGGCCTATACAATGACTTGCGGGGCCAGCCGATGTACAAGTCAGTGTTTTTATCCTCCCAGACAAGTCTGGTACCAATTAACCGACCCCGGAGGGATGGAAGGCTTGGTTGGCCCGGGCGACTCACGACCCAGGATTTGATCCCGGTAAGCGTGCCACTTGCCACTACACCACTTCCGCCCGGTGTTTCTATAGTGTATGTTATTACATTATTACAGGAACGTGAGGCGAAGGAACGGAACGCGATCCCACTGTCACGGGTAGTGGACGAAACAGATCGGTTACGGCCGGAAATGCCAATGTCTTCCTCAAGACATGGCCGAGGGCATCAGTTAGCCACCGCCTAATGATCAATGACCAACCATCAGCCCGTCACGGATTGTGCATTTCACCTGTGGTCTCTAGGATGTGGTACTCCTCCCACTGTCAGTACGCCTTTGTCATTGTCAATGCTCATGACAATACTCATCCAGTTTTGTTACTTAATTGTACAAATCACTTTTATTGGTTGTTCAATATCACTTAGCTAGAAATTATTGCAATAAATTATTTCTCAATACGATGTTTATACGGCTCATAATGTGTGCATGTGAGACAACCTTTCACGCCTCAAGTACTCTTGCTCTACGATCTGGAGCGAGAGGAATTTCCAGGCTCGTCAGAAGCGGCGGTGATTACGTCATTTGAGCAAGCGGTAAAATGGTCTGTGCATTATTATTGACAAGGCTAGTACCCTTTTGAAGGAGGATTCTACAATAAGAACGCAAATGGAAAAAGGGAAAACTTTCGTAGTGGAGGTACAGGGTGGATCTCTAAGAGAGCGAGTCGAAAACGCAACTCGCATTGAAGGACATACCCCTGCCATCTAGCATGACCTTCCGAGCGGCGTAATTGGCGCGCTATTGGCTCAGTACCCCATCCTCGTGTCCTAGCGTGTCTGAGTCTCTAGCCGTTCAGCAGAGAGATAGAGAGAACGTTATCGTTGAAGAGAGCAGCACCGGTGAGAGTCTCATGTATCAAGTTTGTGTAGTCCGCAATCACGAATATAACCCCGCCCACCCTGTCTCTCGGATATGGACGTTACATACCACATATGTGTGGAACATGTTGTAAAACAAATATGTCCTGATACGAGTCAAAAGGTTGTATCATTCATATGAGCTCTAGAATTTGTCGTAATTCCCGTATATAACCATACACATTGATTAGTAGATGCAGATTGAAGTAAATTATTCATTCATCTGTTGAAAATAAAGGAGGGACGTGTGAGGGTCCAACGAAAATTTGTTTCTCGCATAATTCACATTCTCTTGACCCGCATTCAGGTCTCCGATCCTTGCTTTGTTAGACAGCAATGTACAGGTAGGTCACATATCAGAAAACCAGAAAAATAAATCTGACGATTAACTGACGAGATCAAATTTTGCTTGAAAACAAAAATACAGTATTCAAGGAACAATGTCACCATTTTCATTCAAATCCGCTTCAATAAAGAACGATGCAGAGCCTTGAGCCGATGGGGTGGGAAGGGGGAGCAGTCGTCACATCGCAAGCAGGTGCCTTCAAAGTTCGTCTCAGAGAGCAAAACTTCCAGATACCTATGCGGCTACGGACGCCAGCGTTTTAGAAACAGATCGGTCAAGCGGATTCAAACTATTGTAGCAAGATTTCCTTGGACACCTTGCCACCTGTACAGCCTCGGTTGCTGCGGAAGTGAACGCATAATCACGTGGAATTCGCTCAGGCGATGGATGACCCACAACCGGGCTGTTCAAGAAGGCTTCTCAATAGGAATTCTTCAAATGATTACGTGAACCACCATCTTGCTCACTTCAAGACTCTTATAGGCGCAATGTGGCTCGGGGGGGGGCAGTCGCCGCGCGCGGCTCAGCGATGTAGTGTAACTCGAACATTCCAGCTTCTCACGGAACATTCCAGCTTCTCACGCATGCTAAGTGACTGCCCTCACCCCCACCCCCCCCCCCTGAATTGGCTACATTCCCCCTGGCTCACGAATTTCCTGTTGCCGCAACGCCGCGCGCGGCGGCTGGCCCCCCTCGAGCCACATTGCGCCCTCTTATGGAAGTAGCATGCCGAGACACCCTGTCGGTGCAACTCAGCGATGTCTGCAAGTGAGTACGAAATCGAAGAAGCTTTGTGGGCGCACGCGGTCTTCGTATTTCGCGCTCACCGTGTACTGCATTTGACGCAATTGTTCGGACCCTGGGGAGACACCATCGTACTGAGATCATGGTGACAGACAACATCGAGGTTTCTCAGTAAGTGGTTGTCAAATTACAGTCAGTTTGCTCTGAAAAGTGAACAGATTTCTAAGGAGGTCTGAGGTGCTATGAGAAAGTCCGTTACAGCACACCGGCAAGAACTGCACATGGAACAGCTCAGACCTGCATGCGCGCGCTTCATCTGAGCTATTCAGAAACCTGAACCAATAGTTCCAAGGTTGTCGTCCATTCAACGCTCAAGAAAATAACACAACTTAATCGACGTGGGCAAGCTCTCTGTGATAATGAGTGGTAGAAGAGCAGAAAGTTATGATTTCGTATCAGCTTTCTGTTGCCACTGATCCTTCAGTAAAGCGAAGTAGTACTCAGATCCTTCTTCGCCAAAAACTTGCTTCTCCATGACGGAGTCAATCTTCCGTCGTCGCTTGGTCCTTGTCTGCTTCGCCGCGTAAATCATCACCAAAGGAACGAGAACGCAATACCAGTTGAAGATCTGCAACATACCCTACTTTTTTATGCCAAAGGCCCTTTGAGCAATTTGTACTTACGTAGACAAGGGTGGCAAGAGTCTTGTTCAGGATTCTTGGTGTTTGGTGAGCAGTGAATCTGACAGTGAGCACCAGAATCGGATAAAGAACGATAATGACAGCTTGAGTGATGGTCGTTGTCCGCATAAACCACAGCGCATCTCGATTCATAGTAGCTTTGAAGTGCCTGGTGACATCAAATCGGGACCTAAACATGTCATTTTCGTAAGAATATTCGATGGGTTAAGTTAGAATCAGTCCAAGTGCTCAAAAGTACTGCGCCAACCATATTAGGGATCAAATTTGGCTCGAAGTAGAAAGAGGGCATGCGTTTTTGAAAATAGAACCCTAATGAGGTCGAAAACCGGAAACGGAACCATGTGACGACGTCTGACCAGCAGATTAAGTATACTGAGAATCAACCCTGAACAGTTTGACAACCTGGAGGAAGGATGGGGAAGGAATTTTCTCATGAAGCTAAGTGGGAATTAGCGGTATACAGGGGCACTTACAAGGGAGGTCGTTCAGGGTGTGCCAAGCTTTTTCAAAATGGTTTCTTGCATGACATTGGGGCACATATGGGGACCACAGAAGCATGGTTCATTTTTCCTGAACGGCCCTCTGAATACCAGAAAAGGGGTCCCTAGTTCGATTCCTCGTGGTGACAAATTTTTGCATTTCGAGTTGACGTTTCCAAATTCGCGCAAAATGGAGTTAGCATGAATAATTAGTACCAAATTCATGATTAGGAACGTCAGTAACCCTTACAAATAGACTTTGATTGAAAAACTGGTGAAAAAGGTGTGACTAGGGACCCCCTTTTCTGGTATTCAGAGGGCCGTTCAGGAAAAATTAACCATGGTTCTGTGGTTCCCGCATGTGCCTCTATATCATGCAAAAGACCGTTTTGAAAAAGCTTGGCACACCCTGAAAGACCTTCCTTGTTAGGCACTGCTGAGGCTTTGTGGGGACTGGGGGCATCGTTTTTAGTAAACCTTCCTTATGATCACAGAGGATCACAACCGTGTTAGCTATTGATTACAAAGTAGATTTTTTTGATTTTTAACACATTGATAGGAGCGCGGGATACATACTACTTCCCACCCATGCGCTCGGAGCAGGCTCGTTCTACCTAAGCTATACCCCCACCCAACCTCTGGAGTGGTACTTATGCTTGATCGTGTCGCAAATGTCACCACACTTTTCATCAGTAGTGAAATGAAAGGAGAAGCAATCATTATTGATGGAAAGTTCTGAAAATTGATAGGTTTACGGCGGTCGTCAATGGGTTTAGGGATCACTTTCAAGCGAACGAAACGTGAGCTAGCATTTAAGCATTGAGCCACATGGAAGCGGATTACACAAGAAATTTTCTGCAGATGTTATTACGAGTTTCCAGATTTCCTTCGCTTACCACTGTTTGTGCTTGGGCTGTATTTCTAGTACCTGTTAGTTGCACGCTTATTGCGTAGGGGTTGGGCTATCGGGAATGCTCGTTAGCTCTATTTGGATATCGAACCAAAGTTATAAATAAAGGATAAAGCATTTGCCGTTGATCAATCCCTTTTTGGGATGCGGCACGCATTCTACTTCCATTTGTACATTCGTGAATGCGATGTGGCCTATACAATGACTTGCGGGGGCCAGCCGATGTACAAGTCAGTGTTTTTATCCTCCCAGACAAGTCTGGTACCAATTAACCCCGGAGGGATGGAAGGCTTGGTTGGCCCGGGCGACTCACGACCCAGGATTTGATCCCCGGACCGCTCGCGTGGTAAGCGTGCCACTTGCCACTACACCACTTCCGCCCCCAAGGTTATATCAGTTTGAATTCCAAGAATGACCCGTTACTGGTTTTACTGATAGAGGAGATCACTTTGGAGAAGTAACAAAGAAAATGGAGAAATTGAGATTTCACTAACAGCGTAATCTTGCGTTGATGTGTTTGGAAAAGTAGCACAGACATTACGAGGCATATGCAGTTTAGTGGCAGTATAGCAGCAGTTGCGATACTGACATCGACTGAAATTGAAAAATGCGCTGAAACATCTCCCATTGTAATGTGGCAGTAAGCAAACTCTTACCCATTGACGACAGAGGCACGTTTAGGCACGAAAGTAGGGCCTCCGTAGAGACTGCACCACGAAAGACGAACAAAACGATAAACGCGGCCAGAGGAAACTGAAATACTGTTTGTCTGAAAATTGGTATGAGGGTAGTGATAAGGATGAAGCATTCGATGATGATCAACTTTTTGATTCAAGCTCCAGTTGGAACACTGAATTATGACATTACATGAACTATAATATCTATGCATAATTTGAGCCCGGCCGATGTTCAGTGCGAAACGTTTATAGCGTTCCAGAACGTTCCATATGAGTTTCGAACGAATCACCTCTTTTTGACATTTATCACTCGAAGTACATCTATCGTTCATCTCCTCCTATTGGCTTCTGTAAATAGGCTGCTTTGGCAAGAACCGATTGATGGGAGCATCAGGTATTTGAGAGAGATTTTCAGAAGCTGTGATTGTTTTTGTACTGTATGCCAAACGAGGTTTTTAGGCCGATATCGTAGCTTGCGAATCGAGCGATTGCACGACCAAATCAAACTTTGCGCAAGCGAATCGACCGATGTACCAGCACCCGACACTGTTTGAAAATGCCGGAGCCCAACGTTCAAAGAAATCCCACTTTAAAGGCAGCCTGATTAGCCCGTCCAGTAGGAGGGATACCACGAGGGAAATTGTAAGGTCCGTACGTAACTGGATCACTCCAGCTTCGTCGCAAAAACTGCGCGGTTAGGGCGCTAATCCTTACGGGCCCGCAACCATCGACTCCCGTTCCAACGCTTCCCACCCGCCGCGAGAGGTGGTGAGATCAGCGTGCATTGATGAGAGATCAGCGTGCTCTCTCAAACGACGTGCTCTCTCGCGTATTTTGTCTTCTTTGACCGCCCTTTCTCGCCATCGTACCACATCCGACCCTATGAAGGTTAAGGCCTTTATTTCAGCCTTTCCTTTCCACTTTCAGATTGCTCCGCAGCTAAGCTATCACTACAAAGCGCTGATAGCACCTGTTTAATCCCGGATTTTGCCTTCTAAAGGAAGACACTGTTTGAAAGCGGCGGGACTTCCTTCCAAACGTTGGGACTTTTAAACAGTGTCGAGTCGCTGGTACATTGTTCGACTCGCTGGTACATCGGTCGATTCGCTGTCGCAACGCTCGGATCCAGCGATTAGCTAGCGGCCCAAGATGAAACCTTTATTTACTGGCTTCACGTTTCGAACGCTTCTTCTCTTCAGAGGCTTGGAGATAATAGTTTGAAACTCTTCGATTTATTAACTACATGATTACTCGCTTGATTAACCGCTTATACTAATTTCGACGTCAGAGAATGTTGAGAATACTACCGAGTACTCAGAAATGAAGACTTAACTCACCGAAGATTCCACCGATGCGGAGCAGTAGCTCACGCCCTGTGTTAGTTGACGTCAGTGAAGCAAATGAGCTCTACTCGTCTCGTGATGTCATATTTTGAAATCTGTCAATTTGCACGTCGCACTGATAGCTCGCACTTACGAAACAAAAGGCATTAGCTTTCGTAATAGATGAACATCCGTTCAGGGTCAACCCTACGTTGCGCAAAGAACAACGAGGGGGTCGCATTTTGCCGAACGAAAGGGGGGGTCGCATACAGAGGGACGGGGCTGCAAGAGGGCGACAAGGCAGTGTGCGGCAGTGCACTTTCACGCCCTAATGTTCTCCAAAAGCTCTGCACCGTGCAGCTGTCGGAGAGTCACACAGACAAGAGCTCCATGGGAGCATTAGAGCATGCAGAGCATTATAAGTCTCACTTCAGCCATTATTATCCTTAATACACGGACGGCGCTTTTGCTCGACAGCATAGATCAAGATTACAATAGCCAAAAACTTTGTTACAGCGTAGTGCAAAAACATGGTCTGTCTTCGATGATCGAACATTCCTGAAATCCCAAGGAGAACAAAGTGTAGAGCAGTTCATGGGGAAGTGAAACAAGAGTACCATATAACAGTACAATGCAACTCAATCAGGATACTAACACCTTCTTCAGGAAAATGGAGGACTTTCAAATGCGAGTGCGACTTCTGTCCACAGACAGGTGCACGGCGTATACCCGAGCAGGCGTTTTCCCATAAAAACGCTTCTCTGTCAGCGGCCGTAAGCAGACAAACTTCCTGAAGAGAATTTTGATGCTTTCAAATCAAATCTAAGCGGAACAAAGTGTAGCGAACTTGCTGAATTGAATTCTAAAGACCCCTTATGAAATTGAAGCAGAAGAAAGAATTCCATGAAAAGTTAACGCTAGTAATAAAGTACTCTTCGCGTAGATTCTAACGGTCTTTACCGCTTCTCATTTTATGAAGTTTGAAGGAAGTTATGGGTTCTTGAATATTCAGAAGAAAGGCTTGAAAAAAGTCTATGAAAAAAACGGAACGACGGGACTATTTTTGAACGAGTGATTTTTCAAAAAAGTTTCAGCCCTTATTCGAAAGCTCTAATCTTCTAGTTTCTAATTAGCCTTAGACATCTGCAAAAAGTTGAGTATGAAGAAAGTTATAACGTTTGAATGTCGAAAACTCGCGCCTTCTCAAAAATCGGACCCCAAACCCCCAAAACGGAACAACGGGACTATTTTTTGAAAGAATGATCGCTGGAAAATTTTCAGGTGCTTGTTTGAAAGCGCTAATCTTCTAGTTTCTAATTAGCCTTAGACATTTGCAAAAAGTTGATTATGAAGAAAGTTATGAATGTTTGAATGTCGAAAACTCGCGTGTGCACAAAAAACGGAACAACGGGACGATTTTTTGAAATATTGAACATCCGCAACATTTCAAATGCTTTTTTGAAAGAAAACTATTTGTATTTTTAAAATTTTGGTGTCCGGTTCCATGAAAACGCCTGTGGACGAAGATATAAGCTTTCAAAGAAGGCGCCCGTAACTATTGGAGATTTAGATTTTCCAGCTTCTACAAGAAACACGGTTGGACGTTGACGGAAATCTTGGCACATACCTGAAATTAGAGACCACTAGGAACATAACGGTACCTAGGTTTACAAAAAATCCTCTCAATTCCTCTAATAAAACTTTTGATATTTCATTTTGCCTCAAATCCGCGTCCCAAGCGAGTGGAAAACGCGCTCCACGCTACCTCGCGCCGCGGTAAGGGCGCGAATTCCTACATTCAAACTTTACTATTCGGTTTCCTGCCTTATTTATTTCTGTTAAGGAATGTTTCTGTTCTCTTTTTGTTAGGGAACCCTTCCGTACTGCTTTAGAGGCCGTGCTAAAGGCCTCTAAAGCAGTACGGAAGGGTTCCCGGCGCTATTGCATTATTACAACCCCAGTAGGGGGTGTCAAAAATTTTTTTCGCTGAAACTTCGTCTATTGGGGTTATCGGAGGTCCTGATCACGAATATTAGATCCATTTTTGACGTTGATACACACAGAAATACACCGTAACACTAAAAAACACACATGTCCAATAGGGGGGGGTCGCACTGACACCCCTTGAAATGGAGGGGGTCGCAAAAAAATTTGGAATTTGCGCAACGCAGGGTTGACCCTGCATCCGTTTCTGCCGTTCAATCTAGGTTTCCTTGCAAAAATTCAGAATAATTCCAAAGTTCTCCTGGATGACTTGAATGTATCGTATGTAGCACGTATATTGGAGAAACTGGGAAGAGCACTAGGTATCCGTATTCAAGAAAATCTAGCTGGGAAGAGGCGTGGTAATGTAGCTACACCACTTGGCAAGCACAAGATTGAGGAGCACAATGGGAACGACTTTGATGTTAAATGTTCTGTGTTAGCGTACGAGACTGAGATTTCATCCAGAAAAGCTTTGGAATCATTCTGGATTTTCGCAAGGAAACCTGGAATAACGGCCGAAACTGTAAGCGGTTGACCGAGTAGCTAACAAGTCGAAAAGCTTCGGACTATCTCCAGGACCTCTGAAGAAGACGAAGCGGTCGAAACGAAAGGCCAGTAAATAAAGATTCCATCTTAAAAACCTCGTTTGGCATGCAGTAAAACAATTATAGTACATTCAACTCGAACGCCGAGGTTTCAACAAAGGACAACATGGGGATTATTCTCAGGAGCCATGTCCGACGAATCGAAGCCACATACAGTTAGCCGTTTTCTAGCAGAATTTGCGAAACTAATAGACCATGACATTCTTTCTCAGTGGTCATCCTTGGATGATGAAAGTTAGAGGAGGACACGATAAGAACGAAGGTCGAAGAAGGAGTAATTTACCTAGTTGAGAGACAGGCGGACCCCCTAAGGGTGCGGACCAACACGCAATTCGCATCGAAGATATGCCCCGGCAATCTAGCATGGCCTTCCCTTTGGCGCGGTTGGCGGGGAACGCCCACCGGCGATTCAGTCTTTTGCCGCAGGCCTAACGTGGAGAAACAAAAACGAACGTTTTCGTGAGAGAAACTAACTTACGAACCACACCCGAAGGTAGGCCGAGCAGAGACAAAGGAGCGCATGGAAAAAGTGCGGCTTCAGGGCGGTCACGTATCAGGCGACGCATTAAAGGAATCTAATGAAAGCGTTCGATTTTGGAGAATAGAGACAAAACGATCGATAGAATAGGATGCAGTAGAAGTGAGATGTTAGTGCAATAAGTCAAAAGGTCAAAAAGAGTTTCTAGTGACGGCACTCCGAGAACCAAGTTGCAGCCGTTCCCACCGCTGGCGTTTGAGGCAGGTAAGCGGCGTGAATTTGAACGTGTAACAGCCTTCCCAGACTTCCAATAAAGAAAAAAAAGGTTCTTTCCGTTTTTCGTGAACGGTAGCTCTCAAGCCACTGGTTTGTTTGTGACATAGTATCATGACTTTTCTGGGGAGGATTCCCTTAAAGGTAAAAGCTCACCAGGATGTGACCCCCTCTAAACCATGAGCTGGCCTCACGCATTTGAGCCCCACTAAGTCCACAGAGTGTATTGAAATAAATAAATAAATAAATAAATAAATAAATAAAAATAAGGCAATGTACGTCACTATTCAGTGATATAACTAACCTCTATTGTGAGCAGAGAAGCGAGAATGCAGTTCTGAGCAGATTTGTACGATGGGCAGAAGTTGTCGAGGAGTCGATCAATGTACATCATGTACTGATTCAGCACCAGTATGAACACGCAAAAGGCGAACGAGTAACGAAAGGGAGCACAGAATGCCACCGTATTCCGTGCACTACAGGGATCGTTCTCGTCAGCGAGCAAGGATTGCACAAGGTGAAGAGCCTGGAATAAGAACCTATTTGTGGCATTAAGACTCTATAAGCCGTCATTAGCGTCTAATTTTCTGAGTCTCCTCTCGGCATTTGGCCGCAGAGTGAGGATCGCATCTTTGGACGGATATGCCTTCAAATTTACGGCTTTGTTTTCTGTGTTTCTCAGTTGGGCTATGTGTAGCTGTGCAATGCCTCGAAATGGACCTAGACTGGTGGTGGCGTCGCTTTTGCGCGAATAGCCTAGAGCTCGGATGGAATCCATGCGAATGTCAACTGAATTTCTTATGAGTATGGAGCCGGTCACAATCACATCGCGTCATTACATCGTCCAATTCCACTGGCAAAAAGTTTTTCTTCTTTCAGCTGATTGGTCAGTCGTCACGGACTAACCAATCAGCTGAAAATGGGCTTGAAACTTACAAAAAAAAACTTCTCAGGACATGGAGCGCTTTTTCGAAATGGTTTTCTGCATGTTGTAGGGGCTCATGCGAGGAACACAGAACCATGATCCATTTTTCCTGAACGCCTCCAGGAATGTCAAAACAGTGGTGAAGAAATGGTCCAGAGTTCGATCCCCGGTGATGACTAATTTTTGCAATATAGTTTGGCGCCCCCAGATTGCCGCCAAATGGCGCCATCGTCGAGAATAGATGTCATTGTCGTGTTTTGCGGCAATTTGGAGGCGCCAACATAAATTGCAAAAATTTGTCATCACGGAGGATCGAACTTTGGACCACATCTTCCCCACTGCCGGGGGCGTTCAGGAAAAATGGACCATGGTTCTGTGTTCCTCACATGAGCCTCTACAACATTCAGAAAACCATTTTGAAAAAACGCTCCATGTCCTGAAAGACCCCCCCCCCTTGTTAGGACCTAGAACACGCACTGCTAATGGATCAGTGCATGCCCACTAGTGCAATATCTGTGCTCCATGCTGTGCTGATGCTCGTCCCCCGCCGTCTTTCTGTGAGGTTGCGAGCTTAGATTTCTCACCCCAACGCCGGGTTTGTCTTGGGACACTTCTGTCCCTTTCTTCATCGTCGTTTATTACATAGCAGCTGCTGTTTCATATTCTAATCCCACAACCTTTTTTCTAATGTGGACTATGTCTTCAAAATGGCACCAAATCCGTTAGGGGAAAAAACTTTGGTTCCTAACTGACGCACGTAACATACATACTAGTACTTGGATCACTTAACACATTGACAAGTTTTGGCTTTTTTGGCCACGTGGGACCGCGGCGATTTTGCGGGCGCGCTCGCCTCAGGTCGTTCAAGCAGATTTTGAGTGATAAATACACAACTAATGATCAATTCAAAACCAATCAGTAAATTGTAATGAGCACAACCTAACCAGGGGTACAGTAGTGGAATTTCGATCGAAAGACATGGAATAACAATGAAAAAGCGAAATTTTTCAGAACTAGCTGCAATGGACCTCAAAAGCAATTTTACGTTGATTATTTCAATCAAAACACACATATTGTCATCCCTAAGGTTCCGTATCTACTTCTACTACTATTTAAATCTTCACATTCATAAAAAGAAAAAGTAAACGAAAAATTTATTGAAATGAAGATTTCGTATGGTTCAGAAATCCTCCTCTAAATTAAAGCATACGTGACCATTCTAAGGGCCACTATGTTTGTAGCTACGTCAAGGTCTCTTCCATGGAATGAATACAAGAAACTTCTAAAAGAATCAGGCGTGCGCGAAAAAAATGAGTGTAATGGGTGCGGGGGATATATATCCCGCACGGTCCGACATGGCCTGCAATGCGCGGGATATATATCCCCCGCGTTGTCGTCAATGTGTTAAAGGATAAAAAGGAAAGCATTTGCTGATCAATCCCTTTTTGGGATGCGGCACGCATTCTACTTCCATTTGTACATTCGTAGTGGCGTTTGAATGCGATGTGGCCTATACAATGACTTGCGGGGCCAGCCGATGTACAAGTCAGTGTTTTTATCCTCCCAGACAAGTCTGGTACCAATTAACCGACCCCGGAGGGATGGAAGGCTTGGTTGGCCCGGGCGACTCACGACCCAGGATTTGATCCCCGGACCGCTCGCGTGGTAAGCGTGCCACTTGCCACTACACCACTTCCGCCCATTGACACCTTGAGTGAACTGGAATGGCAAATAATATTGTTCTTGTGAGCAATGGAGTCTAACCCTAGCCAAGGTAGTCGATCACGAGGTCGTCTTTGGCCCCACCTCTTTCTTTTTCAAGAGAAATTTTTGTTTCTGGCCTTTATCGACTGCTTTCTTTGCTTCTTTTTTATTTTTAGTCAATTCGGCATCCACACCTTCATTATCTACCGCTGTGACTCCACAAATTCGACCTGGGAATGTTGCTCCCTGGAAACTTTTGATCGGAAGCAAGACTAAAAGAAGAAATACCCATAATGTGTCTTAGTCAATGATGTTTTCTCCTTCGGCACCTTGTGTTTCATAATACTTGATAAGGTCGACCGAAACGCATGGAATATTCTGAAATCGTCCTACTGAGATTTAGCGAGAAATGATCGGATCTTCTGACCTGCTGTGTGCAACAAAGCCACCCACCAACCCAGCGGTGTGCTCAAGGAAAATGCAGTAATTTTAAACGACAGGCAGTAAGCGCGGGTAAGTTCGCACCACTATCCCCACTCCGTCAGCATATTTCCCTGCTTCACCCATCATCGGTTTCTCTGCAAATCCACAGCTAAGCCTTTCATAAAAAGTGAAATGTCCTCGGTGTTGCAATTACTTCAGGTCGAAATAAGATATGCATAATTTCATTGAAGAAATTAATTATCGAGCTGAACCTACATGTATGGCTGTCAGTGTGATCGAATGGACGATGATGGCCCCCAGCGTAATCCAGAGGTATGCCTGAAAATGATATTGTCACGTACTTCCACTATAGCTGATGAAAAGAACTGCCAATTGCTGGCCAATGATGACCGGGTGGTCAAAAATATCCCCGGAGACAACATCCAACCTTTATGTTTTGTGGCAAGAAATGCTTCGAGGAATATTTGACGATGTAATGAAGTGAGAAGTAAATGCCCAGCACTCCGGTGACGACATGAAGGGCCTGTACGCCTCTGTAGAAAATGTCGATGGAAGTCTCGTAGTCAAGGCAGCACGACGACTCCAAACTGCCGTCACTGTCCGTCACATTGTCGAACGGACAAAATCGCATTGCAACTGAAACATGCGTGTGAAATTCAATTTCAGTCCAAATGCGGGGTCAAACGATGTTTGAACAGCTCAATTTTCACGGTCGGTTGCAGCTTGAGAGTTTACGCATCAACATACAGCAATCCGACGACCTTTCGTGATGCGGCACAAAAAAGATATTAAATATCACAACTTGTACTTTAGCACCCCGATACGCGTGCAGAGTAGCAATTGAAAAGGAGAGGCACGCATTGGCTTTGCTTTCACGGTAATGAAAATGCCCGTTAACGGGTTGAGGATGAAGAATTACACATTC